GAAGAAGATTTTTAAAGATTTTTCCTATATACTCCTATGTAAAACTTTGATCATCAATTGTGGCCCCACCCTACCCCCGGGAGTCATGATTTAAACAAAATTGAATCTACACCACCTGAGGTTGCTTCCATATAAATATGACCAATCATAGCTTTGCTGTTCTTGAGAAGAAGATTTTTAAAGATTTTTCTATATATTCCTATGTAAAACTTTGATTGTCCATTGTGGCCCCACCTTACCCCTGGGGGTGGTCATGATTTGAACAACCTGAATCTACGCTACCTGAGAATGCTTCCATATAAATATGAGCAATCATGACTTTGCTGTTCTTGAGAAGAAGATTTTTAAAGATTTTTCCTATATACTCCTATGTAAAACTTTGATCGTCCATTGTGGCCCCACCCTACCCCTGGGGGTCATGATTTGAACAAATCTGAATCTACGCTACCTGAGAATGCTTCCATATAAATATGAGCAATCATGACTTTGCTGTTCTTGAGAAGAAGATTTTTAAAGATTTTTCCTATATACTCCTATGTAAAACTTTGATCGTCCATTGTGGCCCCACCCTACCCCTGGGGGTCATGATTTGAACAAATCTGAATCTACACTACTTAAGGATGATTCCACATGAGTTTCATCTTTCCTGGCCCAGTGGTTCTTGAGAAGAAATTTTTTAAAAAACACCATTAATTTCTCACTAATTTGTAATTATCTCTCCTTGGAATAGGGTGTGGCCCTTCATTTGAACAAACTTGAATTCCCTTTACCCAAGGATACTCTGTGCCATGTTTGGTTAAAATCGGCCCAGTGGTTCTGGAGAAGAAGATGAAATTGTGAAAAGTTGACGACGACGACGACGCCAACGACGACAGACAATGGACAAATTTTGATCAGAAAAGCTCACTTGAGCATTCGGCTCAGGTGAGCTAAAAACTGATGCCACTGAATAGCTCTTATCATTATGTATAGCATATTATGTTTGATAAAAAATATCTTGAATACTTTCTTTGAAATTTATCTAAACATAAAAATAGGGTCAAGGTCAAAAGAAAGGTCAAGGTCAAAAATGTTGATGCAGTTAAATAGCTCTCACCAATATGTATCAGCATATAAGGATTGATTAAAATATCTAAAGTTTCTTTGAAATTGAGATAATTTATTAAAATATCTTGAATAGTTTCTTTGAAACTGAGATTAATACCATTTTAAGATAAGTGAAGTCAAGGTCAAAGGAAAGGCCAAAGTCAAAAAATGTTGATGCAGTTGAACTGCTCTGATCAATATGTATGAGCATTTAAGGTTTGACAAAAATATCAAAAGTTTCTTTGAAATTGAGATAATCACTAATTTAAGTAAGTGAGATCAAGGTCAAAGGAAAGGTTAAGGTTGAAAATGTTGATGCAGCTGAATAGCTCTCAATATGTATCAGCATATTAAGTTTGATAATAATATCATGAATACCGGTAGTTTCTTTGAAACTTAGCTTAACGTAAATTTAAAAGGTCAAAGGAAAGTGTTTGTCAGTATCAGTGTTTGAGTTTGAAAAAAAAAACATAAATAATTTCTTTGAAATTGAGCTATATGTAAATTGAAGAAAAGTGGTGTCAAGGATAGAGAAAAGGTCAAGGTCCAAAAATTTTGACATAATTGATTAGTTCTGATCATCATCTATAAGTGTACAAGTTTTGATAAAATACATCTTGAAAAGTTTCTTAGAAACCGAGATAAATGAAAAAATGAGAAATAAGTCAGGGTCACAGGGATGGTAAAGGTTACAAAATTTGACACAGCTGAATAGTACTTAGGCCAAAAAAATTAATAGGCTTGTTTCCTGCTACCAGCCTGAAAAAAAAAATAGGGTAGGTAGGTAAGAAAATTATTTTATTTTATTTTTAATTTTATTTTTTCCGATGGCATTTTTTGGATATGAACTATTTACGAGATCAAATTAAACAAGTCACAGGTCAAAATTGTCTTTTAAAATTAAATTTCATGTCTTTTGATGCACAATTCAAGTGGTATTTTATGAAAGTCCATATTTAAAACATAAAATTTCCTGAAATGCTTGTTTTGTGTTAACATGGAAACCGATTACAGTGACAGAAAGATGAAATTCCAGAAATTCCCGATTTTTCTTCCCCCAAAACTTAAAAAAACTTTAGGGTCGGTTGCAAAAAAATAGGGTCGGTCGAGTAGCAAAAAACAAGACTATTATTTTTTGGCCTTATCAATATGTATCAGTTTACAAGTTTTTATAAAAATATATAGATTTTTTTTTAAACAGATCGAGCTAAAAGCAAAATGACTGACCGTGAGGTCAAGGACATAGGGATGGTCAAGGTCAGAAAATACCAATACAGTTGAATAGCATTCACCAATATGTATCAGTGTATGATGTTTGATAAAATATCTTAAACAGTTTCTTTGAAACAAAAATGACAGGCAGTTGGAAGGACAGAAAGACAGACAGATGGAAGAACAGGAGGAAGACAGACATGACAAACATAATGCCCTGGCCTTATTCCTGGTGATAGATAAAAATGGGGAAGGCTAGCTTTATGCAGCAGCTAACACCTACTCTTGAAAATTTGTTCAAAAATAATACTTTTTATGGTAAACAAATACAGGAAAAAATTGTCAAATGTTGAAGATTTTATCCCATGGTGATGTTTTTGAGATAGTACTTTTAGAAATGCCTACAGCAGTATCATCAACACTGATCTGTTTGTTCATCATGATAATCTTGCTATTCCCTGCAGTGTTTGTTGGTGCAAATTGAATGTTGATAAAACCATTATCTCAAAGCAATACATATTTTCCTGCATCAAATTTGTTTAATCTTTAAACTTCATCACTACAGAGGTATCAGATGAATGAAACACATCCTTATATATATGATTATATAAAAGAGATAACACTCTATGTGCATTAGCCATGTCTGAAAGGGTTGCTATTTCAGTGTAGTTATCAATGTACCTAGTATATAGTGTGTGAAATCCCCTCATGTCTTGCAGTTCTGAATTTAGCTGCTGGCACAAACTGTACAGTATTGTCTATTTGCAATTAAAGGTTGGACTTTTTCAAATTTTAGTAATAGATGTCTCACAAGAACAGAAATCAATTTACCATCTATCTGTAGCATTATCTTGACAAACTAAAGAAATTTCTAACAGAAGGCCCAAGGGCCAAGAATATTACTCTTTTGATAAATTGCACAACCCTGTCACTTATATTCTTAGCTCTTAGTATCCTAGATATTTAGATAAAGCCTTCAAATTCCATGAACTCTCTTCCTCTTTCTCTCTCGCTAAAATATATTTTGAAATAAAACAAATTTGATATTGATCTGTTTTTAGCAAATCTGCTAGATTTTATCAACTAAATTTTTCTGACTTTTAGGATATATAGCAGAACTCACCAAAGTGGTTTTCATTAATTTATAAATATCTGGATAAGGGAAGGGATTAACCCTCCAAAACTCTTCCCCCCATCACTTTTCTCAGAAACCTAATGACAGCCACGAGATTCCCCATAAAATTTTGACTCGGCGTTATAGTTCAATGACTTTGCTCTGCCTACTCCATATTTTGATGAGACACATCTAAAATTCAATTCTCGCAATTCTCAGGGCAATATTCCAGACTTAATACCAACAAAGTGGGCACTTTTAATGACCTTTCACAAAACTATAGCACAATTTTCAATGTAATTTTTCACAAGTAGTGTACCACAGATTACAAAATAATGAAATATGGGTAACGTGTAAAATAATTAATATTTGAATTAATTAGATGATATTAAAGAGCTCGGAAAAAGGGGCCACGGTATTCAGTTTCAGTGAAAACATTCTTTATGCATGGATATAGCTAAGTTTTTTTATATCCCTGGAATAATTCTTCCAAAAAAATTTGTAAAACTTTACACTAACAAGGAAATTTGATATAACAAATTTACAGATATAGCAAACTGATTTTGTCCTGTACAGATTAAAAAACAAACAAACCGATATTTACATGATCTTTTATAATGAATTTTTAAAGATCTCAAAATTTAAAATACTGAACTGACATTACTTTGTGTAAGTATTTATATTTGAAATTCAATTCTCAGAAAACTTTAGTAATTTAGGGCAAGTTTTGTTTTTCATTCTTCTCTGAACATGTTCGATAGTCATACTTTGAAGAAAACATGTTTATTGCAAATTCCCTATATATATTTTAATGAATTCGCTTTATGAATATAACGAATTATGGATATAAGAAAGTAAATTCACAGGTCTTAAGGACTTTGCTATAACTGAATTTTACTGTAACAGGTTTTTTTTTTTGCTGTCTATAGCTATCATAATTTTTGCAAAAATATGCCAAAAAACTCTTATTTTTAATCAGTGCAGTCCTATTTTTTTGTAATTCTCCCATTTGTTTACTAGTGTTGTCTATGTATTTATTTACTATTGACAATTTTATGCAAATTTTTGCGATCTAAAAATGCTTGCAAAAATAAAAGGGAAAATTAAATTATCTTAAATAATCCCATTATATAGTGGTTCAGATTTTAGTTAAAGCCAAATCAAATACTATTAGTCAATTTATTAGTCCCCTACCGGTGAAACTGGAGGGGACTATAGGTTTCCTCTGAGTCTGTCCGTCCTTATATTTAGCTTGCATCATATTTGGCGGAAATTTATTTTCCAACAAGTTAGTGACATCGCATTTCTGAATTTTCATATTATCTATATATGTACAAGAAATTTAGCAATGTACTTGATATAACGGAAGCTGCTTTCTGTCAAAAGTGCTCAATAGAATACACAGCCAAATGTAAAATGTTTACAGTATGTGATTTTAACATCCCCCTTTCTTTTTCTTCTGAAGGAATATCATCATTGCTCTTTATATTTCACTAAAGTTGAATAAACCCTCTCTATTTTGAATTAACATGCATGATAAATGGTCAGACAGACAATTTAATATTAATGCATTTAATTCAGTTAATACCTCTTCCAAATCTAGTCCATTTTTCTTCAGATTGACTAGGAACTTTGCTCTCCATTTTTCAATGTTGGTTGCCTCCGTTTGTGATTTTTTCTTTGCTTGGTCTAATTCCTCCTCATAAACCAGTATAAAATCTGTGTTAAGAGAAGAAGAAGGATTTGGCAACTTTTAGACATTACTGTACAACAGATATATTCCAAGTTATGGTTTGTTAGCACCGTGAGCAATGATTACAGAGTTACATTACTACAGTCACTGTAACACACACTACTTTCAAAATATGCATTCATTTACTGTTATACAATAATAAATGCACAATATATTACATGAATAACAAGAGGCCCATGGGCCAAATTGCTCACTGGAGCACTTTCGCAAGCAAAAAGCAGAAATCAGTTCAGTATTGTAAAGCTTAAATATATAAGTGGTCCAAACTACCGCTTGGGGGGGGGGGGGGGATGGAGGGAGGGATAGAAGATTTTTTTTTTTAAAGATGTTTTTTCTAGATATTTCTATATAAAAAACATTTCATCTTCTATTTTGGCCTTGCCCTACCCTTGGGGACATGAACAAACTTGAATCTACACTAACTGAGGATGCTTCCATTCTTTGAGTGATCATAGCTTTAGATTCATGGCTTTACTGGTCCCAGAAAAAGATTTTAAAAGGTTTTTCCATTATATTCCCATCTAAAAGTTTGACCCCCAATAATGCCTTTCACTCAAGGATACTCTGTGCAAAGTTTGGTTGAAACTGGCCCAGCAGTTCTGGAGAAGAAGAAATTGTAAAAAGTTTACAACAACGACAGACAACAGAAAAATTTTTATCAGAGAAGCTCACTTGAGCCTTCAGCTCAGGTGAGCCAAAAAATTTTGGATAAATGTACAGCATTCTCATCTACATGGACAATGAATCATTACATTGTATAGATGTTACTTATAATCAATGCTACCATAAACAGCCCAAGTTTCCTTATATCTATATTCATATATACATGTATAGTCAATACCTATTTGTCTCTTTCCATCACTTAGGTAGCAAGTTGCATGAAACCGGTCACTCCTGCCCCCCTCCAAACCTGTCATATGAATCCCTCCATCAGAGCTCTGAAAAATTACATGGATTTGATCAATATGTAAAGCTTGTAGTAGATTTGTTCAAAGACACAATTTTGGGAAAAAAGCATTCAGAACAATATGCTTATACAACCATAAAATTATACAAACATACCATATCTGCACAAATTATCCTTCTACAGAAAAATATATAAGCAGTGTACCTTTCAAAGTAAATATGTAAAGTTGTACATATATACACACTTCAAAATATTTATATCCAAAAAGACTGAAGATATTGTTATAACATCAATGTTTGAATGCTTTTAGATACATCTCAAGTAATCATTTCCTTTAAGGCAGTTCAGCACAAGAAGGCTTAAGATTATTATAAGATTTAACATTGTTTAAACATAAACAAATGACAGTGATGGATTTTGTGACTCAGATAGACACAGAGACAAGATGTTTTTCCTGAGAATTAAAAGAACTTTTTTAAAATTAAAACTGCATAATTTCAACAACCTCAGGTTACCCTATACATACATGTCTAAAATGGATATTGATCCAATATCTTGTACATGTATTTCAGTATGTATACTGATTTAATATACTGTAGCCCAGACTATTATAAAGTTATATTGCATGGAAACCAAGTGCATTAGTAACACTTTGGCAGCATTTTGCTCCAAAAGAAATCCCACACATGACTAGCAAAATTATGTTTTAGCAACATAAACCATGTCCTTGGACCCTTAACACCTAAAATATTGTCCAGCTTAATGGTCAAATAAAATCGAAGTTTTTTTAAATTAAAAAAAAAAAAGCATTTAGTACAGTGTTTCGGACTTTATGGCCAAAAGTCAAGGCCAAAGTCAACTTTGAAAATATTTGAAATTCATTTACTTAATGCAAGAAGTCAGTTACCCTTTACAGATTTTATCTTTTCATTTATTTGAATTTGATTTTGTTTTTCATTTTAACATTTGATAACCTTTATAGAAGTCCTAATGCACACTGGTCCAATGTAACACATATTTCTGTATTACAGTACAATGTACTAATTACTTACAATTAAATGCCAAAATTCCTTCTGGACAAATACTTAATCAACTCAAATTTAAATTAATTTAACATATAATTTTCACTCGACAATCCTGAAATTTGACTGTAATTTGACAGTAAATTTTTAAGACTGTATAAATAAATGGGAAATTTTAGTGATTATCTAATTTTGGCATTATTAGCCATGCTAAAATAATTGCAATCACAAATATTGTCATAGAAAGTAAAGTGTTATTATAATACTCAAAATCACTAAAGATTAATATTATTATGCTAACAATAAATGTCCACTTTTATGATAAAATAAAAAAAAAATGACAATCACTAAAATAACCCATTGTACGTTAATGAATTGGAAAGTGACTCATGAAATAATCTGGACAGTCAATGCCTTCAATACTTGGAATTATTAAAATAAAAATTTTCTTAGTTGTAATTTGAAAGCAATTTTCAGACCCCTTCAAATCATGTTTAGCTTATACAGTAACAATTAAAGTTCCAAGAATTGGAGATGGACATAAGTATGCATAAATACATGCATCATCTCTATAAATTGATATAAGTATGGCAATTACTTTTTTTAAAAGATTAATTAATTCTATTATTAAATTAAAGTATTTACTATGAAAAATAAAGTTCATGGCATTGTATTGCTGATCTATATGCAACAAAATTTTACTATTGTTTGAAGGAGTGTGTGGATTTGTAAACATCATTATAAATTCATTATTGCTTTTATAAATGTCATTTGCAAGATTTTTTCTCTTACGAGACGTTTAAATTTTGCAAATAAATTGTAAAAAATTCTTGATTGTCGATAATGATCGATCGAGTTATTGTAAAATTATTATTAGAGACAATTTTTATTCTCCATTCTTCAGTTTGAAATTCATTTGCAGCTATTAATTTAACGACTGAGCAGTCCGATTTAACCCCCCCCCCCTTTCTCCTGTAGACGACGATAGAAGGGGGGGGGGGTTACATGTACTCAGACTGCTCGACCCAGGGAATATTATATGATTCACAACCAAATATTCACAAGTAATAAGTCACAAAACTTGCAGATATTTCCCGAATAAAGTTTCTGAAAACTCGTTTTTTACAGATGAAATGATGACACACAAGTCAAGATACAACAGCTATAAAAATTGAATAAAAATGAACAAATCCTAACTGGCAATAAAATGCAAAGAAATTGTTTGATATACTTCTATAAGCAACATTGATAATTTGCCAATTGATCGTTAAAATACAAGACAACCTCAGATCATGCGGCACTGTCGCCGGTTCGTCAGTTCGTTTTATGACGAAATTATTCTTGGAGAACGTGTCGATCACCATGCTGCATGCAACGGTTGAGGAAGTGGTGACTCATTCCTGACAAACAGACAAGCAGACGACGGACAAAATGCATAATCGCGATGTCACTTGTTCGGACTCGAAAATGAATAATGTATCGAAATTGGCATATACCTATAGAAATTTGATCAGGAAAACTAAGGATGATGGTTATATCGTAAAATGAATTCTAAATAAGGGATCATATCAAATAAATTTACTCTGAATATTTACCGTGATAAACTCTGAATGAAGTGTCATGTTGTGAAAATTTGACAAATGACGTTTTTGTGTATTACGTTGGAACAGGTATGACGTTTCACACAAGTCAATCTGATCAAGATCTAGGGCGTTCCAGTATAAAAAGAATAATATTTTTATTAAAGTTATGGAGACTCCAGACAGGGATTCGCATGTTTCCCTCTTCTGTATTATCTGTATTGGAGATCACATCATGACATGAATGACGACATCGATTCTGTTAGAGGAATTTCGAACTCTTCCAAAAAAAAAAAAATCTCGGACACAACACTAGCCTATTTAGGGACTAGTGTCTCCAGAAAGTTTTAGTGTGAAGATTGCATGTTTACTAGTTTACAGATCTTGACGTCTTTACCATGTTTACTGGACTCACCATTTGAGCACGAGAGTGAAGAAGGTAAGGCTTGCAAAAACAAGTGATGCTCAAACAAAATATGAAACATTCCAGAATGTACCTGGTAATATGCAGTAAAACTAAATACATATTAAATCCGTACAATTTCAAATCCTAAAGGCATTCATTTCCTGTCAAAAAATATCCATAGCAGTTGGTACATACAATTTACCCTTTGGACAATCTACAGATTGACATTCAAATTAGTCATGCAGATAAAAATTATAGGGTTAAAGTATGGCAAGCTCTGGTAGATGTCTGATGAGAACAAGAGTCAAATTTGCCATAATAAAGCATTAAAGGTATTTAAAGGTATACATGTACTTGTATTGGCCTGAAAAATATTATTGTATTGATAAAATTATTTTTACAGAGATGAGGAAATAACAATGACATTGACATGATACAGTTATTGTCACAGACTGTAACCAAAATATGTCTGTGTTTGACATTTTAATCAATGAACTGTTGTTTGATATACAACATAAGCCATGTTCTCAAAAACAAAACAAAGTCCCACTATATTGCAGTAGCATACTTGTATAAGAGTTTAGAAGAATTTCATTGTGGGTTAAAATGCAGCTCATTTTATCAAAAGAAAAAAAAGTATTATTGCATAAATCTTTTGAGACTTAGTTGACAATGAAGTTACAGAAAAATATATGAATTCTGACACTCACTGTCTCCTCCTCCGCTAGGATGCGGATTTTATCGTCGGAGTACTTGTTGACGCTGCCGTATCCATCATAAGCCTTAACTGCTCCATTCAGCCCTTTCTTCTCACTCATGATGCATGAAGTTTAAGTCATTCTACATTAGTAAGAAATCAATGTGTCACAGTCAAAAAGGATTCACAACATGCAAGAAAAAAAAAACTGATAGAGTAAAAACAACAGATTGTCAAACATTCCTTACAGTTCACATCCGTGGGCATTTGTGCAAATCAGCTACTTATTTAAGATTGAATTAGTCTAGTTATTAGTTCAGGGACGTATGGCATTCACAAATGAGTTATTACAATAATCTCAGAGCATGCATTTATTTCCAGTAGCCAGTCTGAAATATTTGTTAAATTATATGAATGTTTACTTATTGATTATAACTAGCTGAATACAATTTCTTGTTTGTTATGCATAATTGCATATGATACAATACCAATAATAAACTATTTTTTTTTCTATAATTTTTCTACCTCAAACAGCATATGATAAAATTTAATTAAGTATACATACATTATATTTACACAGTAGTTTTATTAAATAAATAATTGAGGAAATTTGCATCTTCTTTATTAAATGTTCAATTGTCCCATGTACTGGCTTGCACATGTTGTATCTTTATAACAATGAACAATTGTTAAAAACATATTACACTAGATGTTCATCCACATTAGAGAGTCAGCTTTAAAAAGAATACAGTCAATAACAAAACATATGCCTAATATGAGGTCCACACCATCTTTAAACTTTATATTTCAGGTAATTTTCAGCTCTCTGTTTTTGTAAAAAATCTTGTAAATCATGGGAGGCAGGTTTTTATCCCCATTTTATTGTAAATGTTGGACTCTGGGGTGGCCCAAAGCCTGTCCCAGTTTGTGAACAAACCTGAATATACACTACTCTAGAAATTGTTTCCAATTGCACTATGCACATAAAAATATCATCTGAGCCTCCAATGGCCTGTCTGGCACAGTGGTTAGAGCAAAGGTTTTGGTTCACTGTTAGAGGAATAAGGAGTTTGTCCTTATGTTGGGTGTTTGAATCCCATATTGCAGGACATGGAGACCACTCCTTTGGATGAGACCTATATTCTGAGGTCAGACTGTGTCACAGTAAGTGTTGGCATGAAAAACATCCCTCACTGCTCAATGGCTTTAAGTCTGAATTAGCAACCTTAATATCCACCAGCAATTACTAGTATCCCAACATGAGTAAAATATTCTTGAAGGGAGATAAAGCAACAGACAAAGAAAAATCTAACCTAAGAATAAATTATATGAAAAAAAAATTACAGGAACCTGTATTGTATACATTGAATTTCATATGTGTGCACAGTTTTATGTTACTTTTAACGGATGCCTAAGATGGTATTAACTGTGAACAGCCACAGTGGATTATGAAAATTTCAGAATGGTGGCAGAGCACTGCTGCAGTGCTGTTCTACAAGTTTGCCAGTATACTTATGATATCCTTTCAGTTCAGTTAAGATTATACAGTTGAACTTAGGCCAAATAAAAAAATATGTGTGGTTCCGGTTACACCTCCAAACAAATTAGGGTAGGTAGGTAGTTTTTTTTTTTTTTTTTTTTTGATATACTGAACGTCAAAAATATCATTGAATGTTCTTGAATTAACTATTGGTGATATTGGTGAGATAATACTATTGCTTTCTTTCAAGTGGTGATATTTGTAACTGACAAAACACTTGTACTGCGTGTTGAAACGATGTTGTCAAAGAAGGCCACCATTGCTGAAACTAAAACTAATACTGGAGCCAATGAGGGAAATTGGGGAAAATTCCGGAAATTTGAAAATTGTCAAAAAAAAGATTAGGGTCGGGGGTATAAAATAGGGACGGTCGGGTAACCGGAACCACACATACTTTTTTATTTGGCCTTAGGTATCTCGAACACAGATATCTCGAATACCATGGATATCTTCACTTGAAGTGATTTGGAAATCCCAACTACTTACTCTTTAGTATTTTACCCTGGATATCTCAAGTCCTCTGATATCTCGAAGTTTTTCCTCAGCCCCATTGAGTTCAAGATAGCGAGGTTTGACTGTACCATTAAAATCAATCAACCAAAAATCATATAAAATCCTCTGTACATGTAATATACATTTTGTATACATTCAATTTTATGTATGTAATAAAATCTTATTTCAAAGCAACAATTCTATCATTCCAATAAAAATGTTTAGATCTGGATTCCATTCATGTGACTGCAGCAGTATAAACTAGACAATATATCTCCCAACATATACTTCAGTCACCAGTCACCTTCATCAATGAAATCAATAGACCTCACGGTAAAACTACTTCTAATTCCATAAATATAATAACATATCTATATAAAATCCATACATAAAGTTCAGTATATCTATTACATTTATCACTTACAGTTGATCTTATCTCGACAATGTGTCAATTTGATACATCCTTTTCCTTTTAAAATCCCTGCTACATTACAGAACATCCAGCACAATAGCTGTTTATTAGCTCTTTGGGAGGTAAAACAGCTCAATAAAACTCCACAGTAATGACTACAGTTTGTAAAAGAAAAATTTCATGGATTCCAAAGACAAGTTAACTCTGAAATGTAACATTTATATATTTTTGTTTGGTGAGGATTTTGTACTACTCCTTATTTTAAGAACTGAAGGATTAAATAATGATGCCAGCACTTGTTTCAAGATGTATTGCATGTACTATGATGTAGATTTGTGAAGTTTATCAAAAAACTAATGATTCTAATCTCATAAAAATCATTGATCAGGAGCATTTATGATACACGTATCATCAATGAATAATTTAATTCTCAGCTGCCTATCAGATAAATGTCATAGCGATATGAGATTTGACCAAAAGTATTAAATTATTGCTCTCACCTTTAAGAAGTTCAATGCATATTTTTATTTATTTATTTATTTTTTTATTTTACAGAAGATTTAAATTCTGTAGTATATTTTTAATCAATATAACAAACAAGGGTAATCTGGGTTTTTTTTTTTTTTGCATGGTTTTCCTATGACATATTTTTCCTCGGAGTTATTCCCCTTGGCTGCCATCTTGTAGGTCAAGGTAGTGAATCTTCCTCTTTGAGCAACCAATTTAAAAAAAACATGCCAAAAATATATTGTAAGAATATTTACAATATTGAATTAAAAGAAGCTTTAAAAATGTATATTCATAAGAAAAACAGTGTTATCTTCACCTCAGTGCCCACTATAACAAATTGAACTTGGTTGAATAATGAAGGGATCTGGGGATGTTGACCTACAATATGGTGGCCATGGGAAATAACTCTTGCTTAAATCACCTTGATGGAAAACCATCTATTGTACAAATATGCATCTTCCTAAAGCAATTTATATACATAGGACATAGGTTCCAAGTTTTCCATTACAATTTCAAATTTATCAAACTTAACACATAATGATTAATTCAGTATATTATGCTGAATTCATCTTAATGTCCTTAAATAGAAGAAATATAGAATCACAAATATGGTTAAATCATTATCTTAAGTAACATTGTATGTATCACAGAATCCAGTCTCACTTTTATAGCTAACTAAAAATATGGCAGTTGTCGCATTTAAAAACAATATTTAATGTGATGAATAATTCATTCAGCAAAGAAAAGAAAAAAATTACATTGTTTTCTCTTGACCACAGCAATGAATCACACTAAATTTGTAAGATACAAAACAAAGAAAAACTGGAGACCAACACCTTGAGGTTGAAATTGCAGAAGATTCTCACAGGTAAGAGAAGAGGCTTATTAATTTGATAAATAAAAGACTGACAAAATATCATTTGAAATGAATTTGCAGCTCTACATCTAAACTTTTTTGAGAGGATGGGGGGAAGGGGGAGTCAATGTTCAACTATTTCTCCATCATTAGGATATGATCACTTATTTTCAACAGTGCTGAAATCTTTGTGGAACTCCAAATTTATATACTTAAATCTTCCTTTTTTATGTTAATTGTAACCAGCGAGGGAGAAAATGTGATGGACACACCAAAATTCAAACCCGGGCCCCTAGCTGAATCAAGACACTAGTCAGGTCCTCTACCAACTGAGCTACATGTCGTATCTTGCCAGCAGTGATCAAACCTGTCCGACTGCCACATACCTCCCCTGTCCCTCTATAAAGGTCTTTGCCCATGAAGACACCAACCCAGGTTCTTCTTTGGCAGGTCTTTCATCATCTGTCACTTCAGAGCATGGTCACGGCACCAAATGTAACTCAGACATTTAAGGGTTAAAAATACAATGGTCCAGACCAGGATTCGTTCCCAGACCCCCTGAATCACTAGTCAGGTGTCTACCAACTGATCTATCTCACCGCTGGCCATCAAATCTGCCTATAAACTGCCACAATGTAGAGGCACCCAAAGAATTCTTACTTTGAAATAAATGGTAAGAAATAACTTTGCAATCTTTAAAGTTATTGATTAAAAAATAAATGACTTTAGCATTAAAAAAAAAATTCTGAATACTACTTCCTTAAAGTTGATGCACTGTAGTAAAAAAAATGATATGATGGACATCTAGAGGGATCAAATGGATCTAACTGCAACTGCATATACATACTGTTATCATGGTCATCAATTTATAAAAATTGCAGAGTATCAGAATTGTATTTTCACCTCATATCATTGAGAGGGAAAACAATTCCCTTACTTAATACTGAATGTATATGGAAAAGATGGCATTTTCTTGATTTACAATACCTTATGATGGTTATTTTTGTAAATCCTAATTATAATATTGTAGAATATTCCATGGTTCAGAAATTATTGTTTTAAAGAATGCAATAAACATGCAATATTTCTATTCACATATATCTTAGGTATTGCAGATCCAATTGCGATGCAAAAACTTCAAGCACAAAATCTGATGCATATTGTGGGATCGGATCATGAAATTTCAAACCTATAGCTTTGATACACTGTAACACAATGTGCAGTGTACCTTAGGTAATCTTAATCTATACAAATTGAAAATTATGTAAGAGTGGAATTTATAATGTTTTTTAATGGGTTTTTTTTATATCTTAGGCATTGTGTCCCAGACTCATGCAGATATCCCACTTCATTAATAAACGAAACCCAGATAAACATGATAAATAATACTGACTTGTTTACAAGTCAAATATCCCAAGTGTGGTAAAGTTGAAGACTGAAAGGTTAGCATAAATTTCTTTACAGAAAGAACTTCAATTTAGTTGTAATTCATTTAAAAAAAAAATGCAGTTTTAATTCTTTTTTTTTTTTTTTGTCATTAAACATTGATAATACTGCAGAAAATAATACACAAATGCAAGTACATATGTAACTACAAAATGTTATTCTAAGTATATTTCCAATAATAGCTTAGAATAGCAAACAATTTAAAATTATTCTCTTTAGAGAAGTGGACAGGCTTTTGCCTACATCCACTATGGATGTAGGCGAAAGCCTGTCCACTTCTCTAAAGAGAATGTTATTGGGAGGCCCGGTGTTCTTGGCATTGTGTGGTCATAATCATGCAAACAAGTGTTTAGATATATTTGCAATGTTTATTTGCCAATTACAGAATCCCAACGGAAGAAAGAGGGCGAGGGTCACGGCACGTGATGTTTCCTCCTTTTTAGTGAAATTGAATACACGTGTACTTGCACTACATGTAACTCATTATTTAGCATTTGCACATTGTGACGACAATTTTACTGTGTAGTCTAACTAGGAATGAAGCTTTACACAATCTATATTCAGAAACAGATTATCATTCCTATAATATAGGCTATATTTCCCAATCTATGATCGTAATTTAATAGTCACTACTCAATAAGTTTGTATACATAAAATGCATTATAGTGTATACATAAGGCCATATAATTCATTCTCTGTTTTCTACTTACCTGAAAGATCTAGTCTCGATTTGTGTAATCCCTACTTCGCAAGATAAATATCTTGTTCTCATAATTAAGTTACCCTAACAATGTCCCAGCAGGACAAAGAATTTTTTAAAGGTTTACACGTATACTATCACTATCCCTAAGCCAAGGGACTCCATTTTTCACAAGACGTCTGCTAAGAGATTCCGAATGGAATTCCATTCGGGTACCAGTGTCACATACCCCATTATATATCTCAAATGTCTGTAGAGAATATAGACGTACCTGAATTTCTTTGGATGTATAACCAGTGCAGATCAATCGATAAGCTTGCGACGGATATAACTGTTTGGGGATGAAAATCGATTGAGGTATAGACAGGGATGAAATAATTCATTTCATCCTGTTTCACCGTGTGTATAAAACCAGATAATCCAGATAAATTGAGTTGGCGGATCTAAAATTATAGTTTTTAATACCTAATATTTTAATGACAATATAGTTAAATATGCTACAGCCACAATTTAGAATGTACATATAAGTATAGCAATTCCAGATGTAGATGCTATTGCTCTTGAATAAATTTTTTCAATGGAAATATTAATTTCTTTAGATAAAGTAAAATTGACCGTCATTTTTGAATTTGTTAGTGTCAGTCGACGAAATCTTGTCATTCACTCATTGAAATGGGGAACAAATCCCAACTTGCAAATCCAATTTTTATCGTTAAATCTAAATCTAGGGAAAATAAACAAGGAAAAGGTCAATATAATTACCCTCGCAATAATTACCCTTTTGCAACAGACAGGTGCTTGGAGACGTGACCTCCCCCTTCCCCCGTGTTCCGTACCCCAAGGGTTCTTTTTATATAATTTTTTTTCTATGACGCATCCATAAAGTAATACAATTGAAAAATCCAAAATATAACCTAAAACCAACCTTTTATAAAAATTCACACTCTTTCATACTAATATAGAAATTTTAGTATCAAAGAGTGATAATTTTTATAAAAGGTTAGTTTTGGTTATATTTTGGATTTTTCAATTGTGATACTTTGTGAATGTGTCATAAAAAATATTTTATATAAAAAGTCGAAGAACCCTTGGGGTAAGGAACGCATGAGGGAGAGTCCCCAAACACCTGTGGTATAATTAGTGTTTTGACACAATTCAAAGATCATCACTAGTTAAAGTGTGGACACGATTCTAAGCTTAAGATTACAACTTGGGCTTAGCATCACAAAGCGGAACATTCTTCCTGAATTTTACTTGTTACAGAGAGCATATATCACTGTAGGAAAGCCGATGACCGTAATATAGTTTACGGTCATCAAAACATGTCGGCCGAGCTGACCGGTAAGAATTTTTCATTCAAGATATCAAACATTTGATAGCATATCTGTGTAAATTCCGCTGAAAATTGAATGTACGCTAATGAGAACTTGCTATTGGTTATTATAGCTTACTCGAACTTAAGGAAATAAAGCTGTAGTATGACCTCAAAGTTTTTGAGAATGATGACCGTAACAAAATATTAAGATGACCGTAATCGAGGTTTATTCCGTGAAGTGGGATGACCGTAAATTTATGATGACCGTAATATCAAACAGAAAGCGTCAAAATAAAGATTTGAAGTGTACATGTGCCAAACGTTTTTACGATCGGTAACGATTCTGTGTGCGATCATGCAACTAAGAAAATATGATAAACATGCGATCGTGCAATTTGAAATTCATTAAATACCCTTAACAGTTCAATGAAATATAGTAAGAGTTTACCGATTTACATGGGCTGATAGTCTGTCGAAACAGAACAGGACACCGAACATTTGATTTTTAAGAGGGGGGGGGGGGATTGACAGATTTTCTAATCTTCTGCTTGGGTAATTTTGTCCACATTTTAAGACAGCAAAATAAAAAATTCAGAACTCTTGCTAATAATTGTCTATTGGCAGTCGATTAAAATGAATCAGATACTAACAAAAAGTATTGGAAGGACCGAATATTAGGATTATAGAAAAACAGGTTTTATTGTCTAGGGAATGGCTGTTTAATCACAGAAGTTGGCATACATGTACCTATAAATTTTATCGAAATTTTCAGTAAAAAAAAATGAATACACTATACTATAAAAATAACAATTACAGGAGTTGGGATATCTATCAATAAAACTAAAATTACAAGTGTTATCATTTTACTGAAAATTGTTATTATTGTAGTATTTATATTTTTTATTTACGGGATATGGAAAATTTCGGGGAAATGATTGGTATGTGTCCTTTTTGACATATTTTATTGCTTTCTTACAAAAGTCGTCATGTTACAAGTTTTATGTAAGAAATAAAATATGTCAGAAAGGCCATATTCCAACTCCTGTGGTTTAATTAATGATAGCTTACTCTATTAAACTCAAATCAATTCAAATCTTTATTGCCTCTGAGTTGTGCAACTCATCGGGATATCACAAAATGTGACGGGGGGGGGGGGGGTAGTGAGGCTGCTTTCTTCCACTTTTTTTAAACATAACTATTTACTGTAACAGTTGAAATGTTTATTGAAAAGTTGGTTGCCCTCCCCCCCCTTTTTTGCAGTATAGTTAAATAGTGATACTCTGGTACTTTGTGAATAAAATTTGATTGTGAAAGATGACCCCCCCCCCCCCCCGAACACACACACATTCAATATAGGATTTTTCGAATTTGGACAATTTTCCTTTTTTATTTTGCTTGTCAAACTTTCTAAGGTAATTTTACATTTTACCCCCCCCCTTTAAAAAAAGCGATATTGCGTGCCTGCAAATAAATTCTATTCTGTTGAAATATATTATATGAGATATTATAACTGCTATACCTTAGGTAAAATTTTGCGAGCCCTCCAGTTCGTTTTCCGTAGTACATGTATCTCCTTGATTAACATACCGGTAGTTAAGTTTAATTTCTGATATTTATGTAGGTCATTTTTATTGGTTAAAAACGATATATCACAATGACCGACTGCCTTATTTGAATTTAATAATATATATTATATATCGAAATAACAGTTCCTAAACAGAATTTACTCAGATTTGTGCTTTTTTTTCTTCATGCGTTTAATTTACGATCGCTATTTCCCAGTTATACGATCGCTTAATAAACGATACATGTCGTTGACGATCGCCTCGCAGTTGTCAAAATTTCCAATTAAAAGTTGTTTTGATGCTAATGTATACAGTTTTAATTTTAAAATGTTTAGTTCATACCTCTAAGAATGACCTTCAATGTTGATAGATGATAATAATCTTAACTATCTCAAAGCATGAAAATTCGATGTTTTGAGCATTGTCGATTTGATCATTTGTACAGAAATTATTTTACAAATTTAATCTAGGTGATATTTGCCCGAATTAAATCTTTTCTAGTATTATTTACAGATGGTTATACTCCAGCGCATACAAAACTGCTTTATCTTATTCTCTACGATACTTTCTTCTTCAATGATTTTATCAGTGTTGCCGATCGCATCAGAGTTGTTTACAGGGGTGTTATAGAACATGTAGAATTGATGTTAAATAAGATATAAAACATCTAACATGATTTTGTACAAAGATTACGGTCATCTATATAACTGTTTTACGGTCATCATCTTCTCGCTGGAATGTGTTTGTTACGGTCATCATACTGCAAAATTTCGAAGGCCTTTTATCATTTCATTTTCTTTTGTTTGGGTAAACAATAACTACTGGTGTGGAGATAACATCGATGTTCGTTTAACCATTACCTTAAATTATGCAGTTTTACTGAATAATGTTTATAATCGCCGTCAAAAATTTTCAACCGATCATATCAGCCGACATGTTTTGATGACCGTAAACTATATTACGGTCATCGGCTTTCCTACAGTGATACATGGTTGTTACAGAAGGCTCAAAGTCAAAGACGATGTTTGATGTGAGCTTTGTTGTGGAGCACAGGTCCACAAAACATCTTAGACTTAATTAAATCATAAGTCAGAATGTACATGTGTACACAGACTTATAGATTTATTACAAAAGATACAGAGAATTTCTAGTAAAGTGAAAGATTGTCTATATGTTTTGTTGTTAACTACAAATTTTCAGTGTAAGTGTGTATCGAATGCATGAGCATTTTATGAATGATTGAAATTTAAAATCCGAGGCCACACCACTGAGTCTCGGCTGATCTTTCAGTCCAATACTTGCTACAGAGATGCAGGATGCACAGGGAAAGAAGACTATTGATTGGTCAAAGGTTAAGGACAATTATTGGTATTTATTTTAAAATGTTCAGTTTTGAAAGTTCATAAAAGTATGACTTACACATTCTTGAAGGGCCTAAGCTCTTCATGAAAAATATGAATGAATGAAAACTGTCAAATATCATATCATAGTGAACTTTTCAAAACTGAAACATATTGCATTTACATTCGATCTATACTCGTTAATTTTATATGACAAAAATGACAGACTTCTATAGGGATTATGTCCTCTCTATAGCTTCAGGTAGTGCCATCTTACTTTAATATTGTTCATCGTTAATTAATTTTATAATTAAATAATGTGAACTTAGAGTTTCTGTCAAAGGAACATCAAAAAGAAATCGCATTTCATGAAAATATATGAACACAGAAGTCAGTAATTATTCATTTTGTGAGAAAACTTTTTTAAATGCAAACATATTGGAAGGGAATGTTCCGCTTTGTGATGCTATTGTTAAAAAAAATCACTCGGAAAAATATCAGTGTCTTTTTCTTTTGAATTAATTAAACTAAATTACATTGAACGTTCTAGTAACTTCATATTAACAATTACAATATATAAAACCCTTTCTCTAAATGAATTTGATATTGCTACCTTTTAAATGTTTGCCTGATTTTACATTGACAATTTGTACTATTAGTAGGATATAAAGCTACATGTTCGAATTTGAGGGAAAAAAAGTATCGCTGAATCGTCAAATCTAGCTTTTGACTTGAAATACAATGACACCAACATGTTTTATTGTGTACTTCTTTTTAAAACATCCATATTAGTACTCCAATGATCAAGTAAAAGGATCAGAAAGGTGTTATTACAATGGAAGAGAAGTGTCCTGTATTTAAATTTAATACCTGTCTAAGCAGAGTGCCCGCGATATTATCTAAATGTTTGTGTGTTTGATTTTTTTAAGTGGTCCATTTCACGATTTGAATGTTCCTTTG